GTTCCTCCAAAGATGGACACGGAGCTAGGCACAGGTTAGGAACTCCATATATATCTGTTGTACTTAATTAGATGGACACAGTAAGAGTCAACATGCTTGTAATGACAGATTATCATTTCCAAGCTACTGCTGTTGACCTCTCCTTCCAAATGAATCCTTTCCCCGGTCCCAGTGCTCGTCATTTGCAAGATGTTTCAGTTGTATATTCTTGTTTGATCCTCCTCACAAAGTTACAAGGTGAGCAGGGTCCATCCCCACTTACAGATGGGAAAACTGACATGCAGAAATGTGTAGAACTGTGACTGCAGCAAAAGTCCCCATCCCGGCCATGCCATGCCATGCCACACCACTCCCAGGCACCCAGGGAGCTCTGTGCCCCTGCGCCCCACTCTTCTCTTCATCATGATCGCACCTTCTCCTCTTTCTTGTCCCATTTTTTCTGCCTTTCATATCTTCCCATGCCCACATACCAGACAGCCATAGCCTCTACTTAACTGGCTTTCTTTTTAGCCTCTCTGTCTGGTACTGCCCGGGATGGCTGAGGACTTCCTAAAATGCCAACCTGACGAATAGGTTCTCTCCAGCTGGTGGAGGAAAGTCAAGATCCTACCTTATTCACTGCCCTCTTCCCACCCTGTTTCACCAATCACTTTGAACATCACCCCCGGAGAGTCTTCAGCCTACACGGTACCACATCTGGGATCCTTCTCATTACAAGGCAAGTACAGTACGTAACTGACATCTGCTCTCTGCTGGTCCTGTGAGAGCCAGTGAAGAAGCAGAGATTTCTAATTCACAGTTCTTCCTCTCAATATGGTGTTGGAAAAGAAGTTTGGGTTCGGAAAGATTTCAATCAAATCCCAGCTTTGGGTTTTCCAACCGGTAGCTGCTTTTTCTGTCTCTTTGGTTGGTTTCTCACCCTTTCTCCTGACTGCTCGATGCTGGAGAGCTCCAGGGTTCCATCCTCTGACCTCCTTTTTTCCGTCTACACTCACTTCATGGATGATCTCATCCTGTCCCCACTGATGGCTCACCAATGTACATCTAAAGCAACAGCCTCTCTTGTGAACTCCAGACTGACATATCCAAAACTTACTCAACATCACAACTTTGATGTCCAACAGGGAAAAAATATGTGTCAGTATCCAAAACCAAAATCTTGATTATGCCTCACTTCCCCAAATGTTCCTCCCACAATTATTCTCATTTCTGTTAATGTCAATTTCCTTCCATCTTGGAAGAAATCCTAGGCTCCTGTCCACCTTTCACCAGTCTCCTTCAAACTTGGCTCCATGTTTAAAATAGGAGCATCAACTTCTGTCACCTCCACTTCACCATCCCGGCTCAAACCATAGCATCTCTCACCTGAAAAATTGCATATGCATCCTATCTGGTCTCCCTGTCTCCATCCTTGTCTTCCTACAAACTGTTCTCCATAAGCAGAGAGAATGATTCATGTGCAGTGGCTTAATGGTCACCCTCAAAAAGATATGCCTATGTCCTAATATCCAGGCCCTGTGAATGTCACCTTATTTGGGAAAAGGGTCTTTGCAGATGAAATTAAGTTAAAGATCTTGAAATGTGATCATCCTGGATTATCCAAGTGGACCCTACGTCCAATGACAAGTGTTCTTAGAAGACACAGAAGAGAAGACACAGACCTATAGAGGAGAAGTGATGTAAAGACAGAGGTAGAGATGAGAGAGATGAGGCCATGAGTCAAGGAACTCCTGGAGCCCCCAGAAGCTAAAAGAGGCAAGGAAAGAGTCTCCCCTGAAGCCTCTGGAGGGAGTGTGGAGCTGTTGACGCCTTAGTTTGGGGTTTCTGGACTCCAGAACCCGTGAGACGATTAATTTCTGTTGCTTTACACCATCAAGTTTGGCAGCCCTCGGAATCTAATATCAGACCCCATTCATTTTCTGATCTGAATCTTTCAGCATTATTCTATTTCACTTTGAGTAAAATCAGATTCCTTGCCACAGCTGATGTGAGCTGACCCTATGGGCCCTCTGATTGCATCTCCTGCCACACTCCCTCCTTCCGCCTACGGCAGCAACACTGGCGTCCTTGCCGTGTCTTGACAACTCCATGCAGGTCCTCACCTCAGAGATGTGATTCTTGCTTCCTCTATCCTGAATAGTTTTTCTCAGATATCCATGGCTCATTCCCTCACTTCCCTCTGCTCTCTGTTAGAGAGGCAGAAAGGCCCTCTCCCATCACCTGATATGTAATAGTTCACCCCTACCCACTTGCTTTATCCACCATACACTGGTGCCCTTCCTAGCACATATCACCATTTAATAGAATACTTATCAATCTCGTTGGTTATGTTTCTTCCCACTGGAAGTGTTACCAAGTCCAAGTTCCTGCTGCTCACTGTACAACAGGCCAATAAATCAGGAGACAAGGTGTTGGGGCAAGGAATAGCAACTTTACTTGGAAATCTAGTTCACCAAGAACTAGTGACTCAAAGAACCATCTTCCCTGAGTTAGAATTCAGGCTTCTTTTATACTATAAGGGGATGTGGGGGTGTGGTTGATTGTTGAAAACTTCTTGGTGTCAGAATCCACATTGGTCAGGTCATGATGTTCCTGTAAACCTCCAAAAAGACAAATGCTCTTCTCTGTTCTGCAACTTTTTATCTCTATATGAATGGAAAAGTGTTACACCCTTAAAGGTCAGAGCCTTGAGAATGGGCTGTCCTGTTGATTTCAGGTTATAGGCAACATTCTTTCACAAAAGATACAGAACCATCATGACTAAGCACAGGAAACAGAGCACAGAGTTAGAGCTAAAGGAACAGATGATTCGTTCTTCCCTATTACCGAAAAAAAAGAGGCGTGATAGTAAGGAATTTGTTTTCTTCTCTACTGCGTACCCAGTGCAAGCAAGTGCCTGGCACATACAAGGCACTGAAAAAAACGTCTGCCGAACAGATACCTCTTGCCATGTATGAGATCCTGTGATTCACTCATCCTCTCAGCCTTAGCGACAGAACGGGACCCAGCAGCAGGAAGAACATGTACAAAAGCACAGAAGTCCAGAAGAGCCTGCAATCTGGTAGAAATGGCACAGAACTCCACTTGCCTAGAGCACATGGTACAAACGGTGAGTGAAGGAGTGGAGATGAACAGAAGGGATTGGCAGGAGGGGTTGCAGAGAGGAAGTTTAGGCAGGTTAGGTTTAATGTCAAGGACTTTGAATTCCCTCATTATCTTTGAAAAATATGTTCCTGAAAAAAATCACTTTATATATTTTAAAAAAAGCTAAACAGTTTTTAAAATGTCAAGGTTATAGAGAACCTTTCTGATCATCATGAGCTCCAGGTCAGTTCCCTCAATTTGTAGATTTGAATTTTGAGGCCCCAGGAGAAAAGGCTCATTATGCAAAATCAAGCAAAAAGCTTCTGGGGAAAAAAAAAAGCTGCTCTTTGCTGACTCCCAGTCCAAGATTCCTTCTTATTCTAGGTGACAGTCTCTGAAAAGCAAGACACATCCAACACAGGAAAAGCAAGAACTGCCTGCTGATGAGCACTTTCAGATCTAAGACAGGGCGGCCCCTCTTAAAAATCCCCTGGGCCTGGACCCCAAGCTGAGAAGATTCACCAATGGGACCTGGATTTGACTCCTCCCTCCTCTGAGCTCTCAGAACGTGCTCAGAACTGTAGTCCAGTATAGGCACCACCCTGTTCTCACTTGCCTGTCTCTCTACTTCATTTAACCTTCTGTATTGAAGTATAATTACATACAATAAACCTCTAACGGGTAATGGGCACCATTTAATTACTTTGACTGTTTGATGACTTCGGCTTTGCACCTGCAAAGAACATCTCCATCATTCCTCCCAGTTTCCTCTTGGCTCTTAGTGATCCATCCCTCCCTTCATCTCTGGCCAGAGAAAACCACTGATTATCTTTCTGTCACTTTTCATCATAGGTTAATTGACATTTTCTAGAATGTTATATAAAGGGCGTCACCCAGAATGTGCTTTCTTTTTTGCCTCACTATTTTTATTCAGCACATTATTTAGAGATCCATCCAAATTGTTGTGTGTATCAGTAGTTGATTCCTTTTAATTGCAGAAGAAGCATTCTATTGTAAGGATGTGCACAGTCTGTTTCTCGTTCACTCATTGATGGACGTTTGGGTTGTTTCCAGTTTTCAGCTATTACAAACAAAGCTGCTTTGAGCATCTGAATATAAGTCTTTCTGTAAACATATTTCTGTTCTGTTGGGGGAATTCCTAGGAGTGGATGTTATGGTATGTGTTCAACTTTTTAAAAAACTGCTAACCTGTTTTCCACAATGTGGATGCAATTCTACATTCCCACCAGCATTGTCTTGAGTATTCCAGTTACTCCACACCCTTATCAACAGTTGCTGTTGTCAATCTTGTTCATTTTAGCCAACGTAGAGTGTGTGTTGTAGCAGCTCATTGTTTTCAACTTGCAGTTTCCTGGTGGCTATTGAGGTGGAACACCTTGGCATGTGTTTTTTGTAAAGTTTCTTCTCTTTTTTCAAGTGACTTTTCAAGCCTTTTGTCTATGAGTTGTCTGTTCTCTTATGTTTTAATTATGAGAGTTTGATATATATTCTGGATTCATGTCCTTTGTCAGATACAAGTTTGCAAACTTTTTCCCATTTTGCTTTTTGCATTTTATTTAACTTATCTTTCCAGATTTAGAATAGTTCCTGGTTCATAGAAGGTGCTCAATAAAATGTACTGAATGGAATTATGAATCTAGACAACATCGTCTAAAATCATTGTGAATCCTTTCATTAGAAGAGGGTAAGAGCACCTCTTTATTCCACTCCTGATGACACTAGATCTGAAACCAGACACCCCTGAACTTAAATCTCAGGGCCACATCTTTTAGCTGTGTAACACTGAACTGAACTTTATGTCCTGACTTTATGACACTGAACTTTAATTTCTCCTCGTGGATAATGGGGATAAAAACACCTGTATCATAGGATCATATCAGGATTACAACATAATAATAAATATAAGAGGCAAAGCATATTTTATGTGCTCAGTGAGTCATTGGAGCCCAAATGGCCAAATGTAGTCAGTGTAACCCAACAGTGGAATCGGCCTTTGGTTTATATCACAGGAATGTTATGTTTAGTTGTCCCTAAGACTAATCAGGGTGTTATGATGGGACTGAGATGGGATGATTCATTCTAATAAACTTATGCACTAGAAAGATGTTATAAATGGTTTATACTTTCCAAACATGGTCCCTGCTCTCTTTTTTTCTTTCCTTTCTTTTCTTTTCACGAATATGTTTTAATCACACTAGTCAGCAGATGTGAGGAACAAATTCCAGAGGAACTTTAATCAGAACTGATGAGCTTAGTAAATGATGCTAATACAGAGATCAATGTCTGAGCAGAACTTTAGTAGCTCCCCATTGTTACAGATGACATGTGTATGTTTGGGCCTGACATCCATGGCCATTCATAAGCTCGTTCCAAAGATCTGTTCTAGTCTTCTTCCCTCCCCACTCAAGGCCCGCCCTCCCTTTACCCACACACAGACAACTTTGATCCCACCACAGCCACTAAGGTCCATTAATACTTCTGTGTTTTTTCTTATTAAATATCTATTTTTGATTCTTTTTTTTTAAATTAAAGTATAGTTGATTTTGTACCTGCTGTTCTCACTGCTCACTGCCAGGCACACATACACTTTGCAAATGTATCTTCCTGGCAAACACCTATTCATCCTTAAACACCAAAATCAAATATCCTCTCTTTTGTGGAAATTTGCAAAACTATCCATTGAAAAATTTGTTCCTTCCAATGTGTTCTCACAACCATTAATACAACTTTTATTATAATACCTCTTCCATCATTTTGTGACAATTTGATTTCTTTATTTTTCACTCACTGTAGACTCCAAAACAGTCTTACTCTTATTCAATTCTATATTCTTAGCACCTCACACCATCTCTGGAAGACAGTAGATGACACTTGGTCATTTTTAAAAAAATAAATAAATGAATGACAAACAAATGGATAGATAAATGAGTGGATGGATAAATGACCAGCAGTGGTTTGGAATCTCAGCTTCTTCACTCATGAAATCTGTACCAGCCCATTCTCAGAGACCTCTCCTTGCTGATATTTGGTGACCATCTGCCCTGAGAGTTCCATTGTGTCAGAAGAGCCATTGATTTTCCTTCTCTGCATGGCCTCTCAGTCCCATGGTGATCAGTACTCCTCAAAAAGGCAAGAAGAAGAAGGGTGAGAGCATTTTTTTAAGAGCTCAAAAAAGACCACTAGATCAGATCACTAGGATGTGAATATCTCCCAATTTTTCTCCACTTATTCTCAATAACCCCCATGTTTCAATATTAACTCTAGCATATCTTTTAATGGCAATTCCTTTTCCGCTCATAGAAGGTTAAATGGTTAAAAGCCTTTCCTCACTTCCTGATCAGAGCACTGCCTCTAAGTCTGAGCTTCTGGTCGGATCTGAATATGCTTATATCTTTATTCTTCTTTCGGAGTAGGAAGCTGCATGGTGAAAAGAAAGGCATTTTGGATTTAAAATCCATGGCCTAAACTAGAGGCTCACCCTACCACTTAGCCACTGGGCAAAACACCTGTCTTGACTTTCATTTTCTCATTTGAGAATAGAGGCTATACTGCCTGTTTTGAGAATAAATCTTTAATCACTGATGTCCAGGAGACCTACACAAAGATCTCACTTCACAGCAAAGATGTGCTTAATGAGTTTGCTCCTTCCTTCTTCTCTTCTCCATGTCCCCAAATCAGTTCTTTACCCAGAATATCCTCATTTCTACCTCCGCTTTCTGTCCCTTTTTTTGTGATTTGAAGTCTTTCATCTTTCCAGGTAGGGACATTAAGTAGCTGTGGCCAAGGACGGGGGAAGCCTGGAGGAATGGTGAGAGGGCTCTGAGGACAGTAGACCTGACTTGCTGGCTCCTGGAAGTGAGCAGAGCAAATAACTGACCATGAAGGCAGGGAGGGTCTCCAATACTCTAGAAGAGATGAGTGTTGTGTATCTGTGTGTGTGTGTTTTATTTCTTTGTTCTTTAATATATAATACCTATAAAGTACTTAGCACAATGTAGATGGTCAAAAAACTAATTGCTCTTCATTGACACTATAGTAATATGAAAAACAGAGTGTATATCTTTATAGATTTAATAAATGAATGGTGACAGAAGAGAAAAAAGGGCTGAGATTGCAGATAAGAATTTGAGCATCAATTTCAATGAAACAGCATTCTTGCTATTTCAAACCCAACCACTCAACAGCCCAGTAAGGGGACTGGAGTAAAGCTTCCACCAAGGTTTGCTTTAAGCTTAAAAAAAAAAAAAAAAAGCAAAAAACTATCTACTGTCAAGTTCAGTAAGGCACACCCCACCTCACATACACTGCTCCCAGGACCCTGACTCAAAGAGAGCAAGATTCAAAATGGCCAAGGAGTCGGGGAGAAGACATGGTTGGATTTTGCACCCGTGAGAATCAAACATTCCAAGTCTCCCACTTTTTTCCTGCTTCTGTTTCATGAACAAGAGAGGATTTCAACAGTCTTGCTGTGATTCTGCCAAGTATTCAGAGTTAAGACCAATTTAAATAAAATAAGCTAAGGAAACATAGTGTGATACTTGCCTTCATCAACTCACTTACTCATCCACTAATTTATCTCTATATCTTATGTTAGCTATTACATGCTTCCATCCATTGAGCCTTCTATCTAGTTAGCATGTACTGAGCACTTGTTATTGTCTAGACAATGTGGATACAGAGATTCACAGGCCCAAATCCCTGAGCTGAAAGAATTTCTCATCACCTGAAAACAGCAAATACTAATTTACTTTTTATAAAATAATTATTGAGGATGAATTATGTTTCAGGTATGGCATTAGTTTCTGGAATACAACATCAATTATGATAAATCTGGAGCCTGACTTCATGGAAGTAACATTTTAGTAACAGAGAAAGAGTACAAAAACACAAACAAAAAAGAATTAATACCAGTTTGTCCATCTCTATGCACAAACATAATTGTACCATGGAAAACAAAAACAGCCAAAGAATAAGGGAAGAGGAGTTTCTTTAGATCAATGCCTAAGGGAGGGCTCTTTGAGAAGGTGAGTGCATTTAGGCTGAATCTTGATGGATGAGTTAATTGCAAGACAAGTGAGAAGAAAGCTCATTCTGGGTAGAGGAAAAGTAACAATGTCTCTGACACAAATATCTTGGTGTGTCCTAGAAATGGAAAAGCAAGCAAACAAAAGGGACAAGATGTGTGGAAAGTAATGAGAAAAGGGAATATAAACAGGAGTCAGATCATGCATACTCCTGCAAGCCATGGTAAGGCAACTTCCATCATCCTAGCTGCTGAGGGGGCTCTATAAAAGGTTTTAAGCAGGCAAATGACATAAGCATTGTTGTTGCTGAGTGAAGAATGGATTAGAAGGATACAAGAATTAAAGCAGGTAAATCCATTAGGATGCCATAACAAAAGTTTAAGTGAGAGACGATATTGGCCTGAAGATGGAGCAGTGTCCCTAGAAACTGAGAAAAGTGTACAAATTCAAGATATATTTTAGAGATAAAACTAGCAGGATTTCACAGTACAGAAAAGCAAAGAAAACTCTTTAATTTCTTTCTATTAAAATAGTGTCATGTTAGAAAACTCTTTAATTTCTTTCTATTAAAATAGTGTCATGTTAATGTCAAAACCTCACAAAAATTTCATCAAAAAAAGAGATAAATTTCACTTGAGAATATCAAACAAAACATTA